CCCCCCTCGCGGAGGAGAGGTTGGGAGGGGGTATTGGGGGGGGGTAGAACCCCCAACCTCAAAGGGGCCCAAGGTTGACAAACACTGACTTAGGGCTTGTCCCACCAGAGATGTTTTGATCCGCTGCTTCCTTCTGCTTCCATAAAACAGCCGCTCCTTTGGGAAGGGTTCAGTGCTCCATGTCTGAATCATCTGCGAACATGGCTCTGGATTCGTTTTCTTAAAAGCCCTTCAGAAACTCTGGGGGTGTGTGTGCGTACACACAGGCACGCACGTGTGTGTTCGCTAGAAACTAAGCTGCTTGCTGCCCTTTTGGCCCCTTTAGCAAAACCTCCCCACTTTAATCCCCCCCCTTAAAAACAGGCCACCCTTTTCAAAGCTAGCTCGTACATTTGGGGGTGAAGGGTTAAAAATAAATTCCATTTGATTCAGCTGCCCAGGAAAGCGCCTTCAGAAATCCTGAACCTGAACCGAAGGAGAGATCCAGCGTTTTGGATCAAACCAGCCACGATTTCCAGCCTGACCATTTTTCCAAGCTGCAAACTGGAGATCTGGCCAAGTCACATGCCCGCATGCGCGCACATGCACACGCACGCACACACACTGACCTGTCAGCCTAGCCACAGCAGCGTGTGGCCAGGGGGGTGGGCCCGCAGCCCCCCTCCCTCCCCACAACTTAAGGGCCTAAACAGCCACCCCCCGCCCCGCAAACAGGCTGTGAAAACAAGGACCTTTGACCAAACCGATCCTCAAAATGCACAGCTCCGTCACATTCTCAGAGCAGCAGAGAAGAAACACAAACTTAAGAAAACAGCTGAGGCAGCGATCTTGCACAGCCGCTACCTCCCACCCCCCTGAATGTGGGCACAGCCCAGATCTTAGGCTGCATGATGAAGAAAGGGGGGGAGACAGGAAGCAGCGGCTTTGGGGAGAAGAGTTTTACTCCAGCCAGCTGCTGTTTGGAGGTGTGGGCCCACCACTCCCATCATCTCCACCAGCAAAGTTGGGGATGATGTGGTGATAGTCCTCTACCTTTGGAGGGCACCAGGTTGGGGAAGAACCAAGTCCATACTTTGTGTTCACCCCGTCAGGAGAGAGCCATGAAGCTCTATCCTCCTCCTCTGACTTCTTCCAAGCATAAAACCTGGTCCTGATCCATGAGTTAAGCATCCATCTGTCCTCTCTCCTCCTGATACTTCAAGGATCTTGATGCTCCAACTAAATAAACCCTAAGAAATAACTTGATGTTGGCATCAGATATCCAGCAGCAGGACTGGATGGTCTCTTCCAGGTATCGTTGCGAGGGTCATCTGAGTGACTGTCACCCTCTGGGCAGAAATCCGGGGTGTGGAGCCAAACCAATGGATCTCCTGCTTTGCCCTGTCCCCTTAAGGCAGACTAAGGGAGAGGCTGAGATGTTGTGGTTGGCACAGAGAAAACAGCTGTTGGGGCAGAAGGATGCCAGGATGGAGAGACGGCAGGAGCTTTGAGATGGGGTGAACAGGTGGCTCTTGTACTGAAGCGTGCCTTTGGGCAGACATGGTCTCCTTGTCATGGTGAATTCGGTTATTAGAAGCACTGATCAACAGGTGTGTAGCAGGATTTTCAACCCCATGGTGACTTGTCTGCCTGATGCAAAGATTGTGGCTACCACAAGTTGTCTAGACCAGTGTTTCTCAACCTCAGCAACTTTAAGATGTGTGGCCTTCAACTCCTAGAATCCCCCTAGCTGGGGGATTCTGGGAGTTGAAGGCCACACATCTTAAAGTTGCTGAGGTTGAGAAACACTGGTCTTGATAGTCTGCTACTTGGAACCAAGCACATGAGGAAAGGAAGCTGAGCGGTCCTGGAAGCCAAATTTAGGCTGTTGGATAGAAATACAGGAC